CATAATAGAGTTGGAGGAGGATGAACGAGTACCCTTTCTAGATGTTGAGGTCATGTGCTCCGACGGGACATTTATGATAAGACTATTCAGAAAGAATTTGCATGTGGAAATAATCCTCAATTTCCAGTCTCATCACAACCACAGACTGAAGAGCAGATATCATGAAAATAAGATCAGGAATCGGAAGGAAGACCAAAAGTGGATATTCCTGCCCTGTCTTCCTGTGAACTGAGGCAGAAATTACGACCGATACTGAGATAACGGAAAATCATTGTAATAACAAAGGAGAAGACAACAATCTCCACGATTGTGTCGATGCAACACGAAAAGATTGAGAAACATGATTGATTTGGAGTATTTCGCATAAAATGCGGCAACTGCGAGCAGAAGTGTATAGGTGTAACAGAAAAAAATCAGCCTACGAATTAAGGAATACCAAGAACTCGGCAGAAAATGGATACGGAAAGATCAGAAATAGCGGAAGATATTGCACGGACGGGTCACGAAATCGATAGAAAGGCCTGCTGCGTATGGTGAAAATACGAGAAAATGCAGTATTTGAGAGGTCATCGAATGAAATAAATGTAATGAACAAAAGACTTTAAGAAGGCAGGATCAGCATACACTTTGAATATTGCTAAGAAAACTCGGTGAAGAACAGGCAGCAGTAAGATCAACAAAAGGAAGACAAGTGGATCAAGGTTACACTTTTAATTTTAGGAAAAGAAATAGCAGAGTCTAGATAGAGAGAATTGGAAATCAAGAAGAGACGTCTACAATGAGTCTTATTAAAACAAGTTAAACCAGAACATTTGGGGTCTGGCACACAAGAGTCTAGGGCATAGGAATTCATAGACTTGGCATTATGTATAGATGCGACAGAGACTAGAGCTAGTTGGCTAACGATAGGTGTGTTTGATCGTATACGTGGTCCGTTAAGCAAAAGCTTTGGCATGAGGCTTCCGGTGCACATGTTGAACGGTGATAAGGGGATTTTTAGTATCACGTTAGTCTTCCATCCAGACTTTGGGGATCCACTCCGTGAGGCGGCCCTATACGTTCATAAAAGGCTTAGGGCATAGTGTGGGAAATGACACCTAGAGTAGCACGAATCTGGTGGGAGTGGTCGAGTGAAATCCCCAAACCAGGGAAATGAGAGACGGATCCTACGGGGCAAGAGGGATACTGGTATGACCTGGATAAAGAGGATTATGGACAGGTAAATAGTGCCAGCACAAGGTTGGAGGTGAGGTGTGAAGAAATCTTATGAAATTCGCTCAAAAGGGCACTCCATATCACATTTACATAGGCAATTATGAAATTGTGATAGTGAAGGGTTGTTGTGAGGATATAGGATAGGTGAATATTCCAGGACAGGAGAGATACCACAATTGTTTAGTAGACAATTGGTCAAAGGATCGATTTCACTTGTTTCTTTGATGAGTTGTAGTGTCGTGCCAAGAATGGCAAGGGCCATTGAGGATGGCGGCGAAACATCTGCGTCTGCGAATGAACCAAACCCGTCAATCATCCCACTGTAAATTAGCATGCATACTATGGACTCTGGACAAGGCAGGCTCCTCTAGATCTTCCTGCCAATGTGATCAAGTTGCGAAAACAAGGTCAGCTAACTATTAAACATGTATTGTTCTTTTTGAAGATCTTGGAGGATATGTTCTTTGCAGCATAAAATAATGTGCCGACATAAAGTGTACAAGTAAAGTTGGGTAATTAAATCACCATCATTCTTCAGATGTAAGCTTCCTTTTCAATACCTTAGTAGGCAATTCAATTTTTGGCCCTATAGCATCCTAACCAGACCCATTGGTACTTTAGATGCCACTTTACTATAATTTTTCGATGACCCTTTATCTTAGTCACCCACGGTGTTTTCAGGTTGCTTAGTCTTCTCATACTTTTTATTTACTCTGATTAATTTCTGGCACTAACCAGTTATATATGCGCTACTTTGTAAGAATTCCTTTGTTGCCTTAGTCTAATAGAGACATTTTTTAAAGTTCTCTTTAATTTATGCCTTTTATCGTCTAAGGCCACTGGTAAATCAGCCAATCTGTACTAAACTTGACATGCCCTATTTCATTTGACCGAATTCTAAAGTGCATACTGGTACTTTTCTTCCCTTACCTCATTAGTGTTGCAGATATCTATCCACTTATGTGGGTGCTTATCTCCAAAGCTGTTAAACAGCCTGTATACATTTGGTTTCACCCTATTTACGCAGCCTAGTTGCGTTTTTGGCAATACTTTAAAGTTCTTATCCCATGTTGCGTACTCTGTCATTAGGGTATAAACGTTCAGGTATTTGACTGTATTTGACTGACGTTCAGGTATTTGACTGTATTTGACTGAATTCCTCACCGGCTCCATCTTCTGCACTAATTTACAACTCATCGAAATGACTAGTAAAGGCCAACATCGACAAATTTTCTTCTTAGTGATTTGGAACATCTCATTTTTCGTTAATGAGTAGGCTTTCAACTACCATCAGATCATATATATGAGATATATTCACTCAATTTCCTTTAAGCTGGTTAGGGGACTGATAGTTGAATTTTCCCACTGGTATGAGTGGACCTTACGTTTACATTGAATTTCACGCAGCCTTGCTTCCCAAAATGCTATTCTCATTCAAGTTGAATCGCAGTTTCGACCTTGCCTATCTCTCCTCACTATTAATTTGCCCAATCGAAGTTCGAGTGTTTTAAAAGGCACTTCTGGTTCCAAAGTTATTAATTTGGCATATGGACGATTGCATTGCTGTTTGGCAACACCAAAAAGA